CACACACACACACACACACACACACACACACACACACACACACACACGAGCATTGTGGCCTGAGTGTTGGTAATCAAGATTCAGTGACGTGTGTGTCTTGGGGCCCAAAGTGAGAGCTATAAATAGAACAAGACTTTATTCTTAGCAGCAGGAACGGTAAATTTGGGCAACCTTGCACTTTTGAAACGTACTCCCTGTGAGCTCATAAACACGTACCAGAAAGATAAAAAAACAACTGATTCCTGTTGAGAAACAAAGTAAAATGAAGTTTAGCACTCGTCATGAATCATCTCCTCGAATGCCCTCCCTGGGATAAATAAAGTATCTATGAGCGTAACGACACAAAGAGGGTCAGCTGATAATTAGCAAACAAATTCTTTGAGGATTGGGAAAGGCAGGGCAGGTTTTATGGCTGAAAAGGGCAAGAATATCTGTTAGCAAAATATCTCATGAACCATTGTATATTAGACTAAAAGTTGGTGTGTTTGTAGCTGAGAGTCATCCTCAACATATACTCTGAGCGCTAATCATAATGAGGTCCCACATCATGCTGTTTCACATGGGTGGACCGGAACAACTCCATCCCTTCTCAACAGAAGACGACTGAAATCAAAAACTCTGGGATGGAAGGCGGCAGGTGATATGCATTCCTTTAAGGAACTCTGGGCCTTCCATTAAACTAGAAATACAAAAGTTGTATTCCCTCAGGCTGAGACACTGTAGTACCATGTGCAGGGGTCTGCAACCTGCGGCTCTGGAGCCACACGTGGTCCCTCTGCTGCGGCTCTTTCAAGCTTTGACCAAAACGAACATAAAACTGAATCTTACTGGCTGTTATGGAGCTTAGTTAGGAGTAAAACATACTTTAACTTTGTGCTTTATTTCTATACTTAATTATTTTTTTCACATAAACATTACCTAGGTTTATGTAGACCTAGACCTAGACAGGTCTCCAGTCCACCACAGGGACACAGAGACAAAGATTATCTCTCTCTCTCTCACACCTAGGGACAATTTAGAGTTACCAATCAGTCTAACATGCATGTTTTTGGTCTGTGGGAGAAAACCGGAGCACACGGTGAAAACCCACGCATGCACGGAGAGAACATGCACCCAGAAAGGTCCCCGGCCAGGATTTGAACCAGACGATCTGCTCGCTGAGAGGCAACAGCTCTACCAACTGCACCACCGTGCTGCAATTTAAAATTTAGTTTTATTAAAAATGAACCCAACTGAGCTCACCTGAGGGCCTGAGTTGGCCCCCGGGCCGCCAGCTGAGTAGCTCTGGTGTAGCAGGATGTGCTCAAGTCTGTTCTGATTCTAACCTGAAGCCACACGGAGGTAAAACTGCATTAGATAAGAACATTTATGTACAACCCTTTTAGAGTTTGGGAAAAGCGTGCTTCTCATGGATAAAACGGTAAAATGTCTCATGGCAACATTTTCTTAAACTTCCATTCGAATCGATTTGATTACAACAGTTTGAAGAGCCAAACAAAATGTAGCAAAAGCAAGAAGGTGGCAGCTGGAGTGAAGCAGGGACTTTTGAGCCTATAGAGCGGACTACGTTTGAAATGAAGGTGCATTTTAGAGTCTGTAAAAGGACTTTTAGAAGATGCTTTCTGCACGCTGGACAGACGCCGTGGACGAGAACGAGGGACGTCTCTAACCACCAGCAGCTTTAAACAACCTGATGCTTCTTCGTTTCAACTGGTCAAACTTTTTAAGCGGTTGGTATTCTCGACGAGGCGCCTACATTTGACAGAACTGAGAGGACTGCACACGGACTTTTTTTTTGCAGACGTCAGTTTTTTTATTTTAACGGCAGCGTCAGTTCCAGCAGAGGAACTGAAACACAACTTCACAATACTTGCACTACACGTTGACCTTAAAATACTCTCTTTATGCTGATACAGATAGTTTTTTTTTACTCTTACTGTAAAAGTTCACATTAAAAGTGGATTATTCTCCTTGTGAGGCTATCGATGCGAGGACGCTCACCTTCCTCCTAAATCACAGCTGTCAGTACGGAGAAATAAAACATCAGAACAGCACAAATGGCACTAGAAGAAGTAAAACAGGAAGTGGATTTTTCACATGCAACAATACAGCTTTTTAATGTTTTGAAGGGAAACTTTAATTTAGCTACAACCAGGACAAACTAGATCATATCTGCATGTCTTAAATACTGCAGATATACAACTGTTTTATTTGAAAGCATTAAACAAACAGAATAGAATAGACCTTTATTGTCATTGCACCTAAGTACAACAAAATTGGGGTTTGCTTCCCAGAGTAAAATTAAATACAGTATAATATAAAACAAACTATATATATAAATATAAACTGTATAAAAGGTAATTATTACAGATTTTAAACAGTCCAAATGTACAACACAAGCAGGCTGATATCACACTAGTTGTCCCTTCTTACACTTGTTCTGTTCTTATTACAGATTTTAAGTTCAGTAACAGCTGACGTGTAAAAACTATTTTTAAATCAGTTTGTTCTCGTCTTGTTTGATCTGAACCTTCTCCCTGATGGTAACGAGTCAAACATGTCCAGGGTGGCACGTGCCCTTTAACATGTGGGCTTTTCCTCTGCAGCAGGAACTGTGTAGATCTTCCAGTGA